AAATATATATCAACGGCAAAAGAAGAACCAAAGATAGTTTTCATCCTATACTTGATGCAGCAGGGAATGTGGCCACTGAGGACAAGGAGAGGGATGAGGTCCTCAATGTCTTCTTTACATCTGCCTTTAGTAGCCAGACCAGTTATCCTCTAGGCATTCTGCACCCTGATCTGAAAGTCTGGGATGCTGCTCAGAATATACCCCCAGCGATTCAGGTGGAGGCAGTCAGAGAGCTCCTCTCCTCCATCTGGACTGTCACAAGTCCACAGGACAGGATGGGCTGCACCCTCAGGTGCTGAGGGAGCTGGCAGGGGTGATTGCCAAGCCACTCTCGGCCACCTATCAGTGCTTCTGATTAACGGAAGAGATCCCAGAGGATTGGAGACTTGCTGATGCGACTCCTATCTTCAAGAAGGGCTGTAAGGAGGATCCAGGGAACTACAGGCCTGTCAGCCTGACCTCAGTACCAGTGAAAGTAATGGAGCAAATCATTTTGGGTGAGATTGCATGGCACATGCATGGTGTCCAGGGGATCAGGCCCTGCCAGCATGGGTTTGTGAAAGGCAGGTCGTGCCTGACCAACCTCATCTCCTTCTATGACTGGGTGACCAGACTGGTAGATGAGGGAAGGGCTATTGATATAATCTACCTAGACTTCAGCAAAGCCTTTGACACGGTCTCTCACAGGCTTCTTCTGCAGAAACTGGCTGCCCGTGGTCTGGACAGGTATACACTCCTTTGGGTAAGGAACTGGCTAGAGGACTGTGCCCAATGGGTAGTGGTTAATGGAATCAAGTCCAGCTGGTGACCCGTTTCAAGCAGTGCCCCCCACGGGTCAGTACTGGGGCCCATCTTGTTTAATATCCTTATTGATGACCTAGATGACGGGATTGAGTGCACCCTCACCTTAGTAAGTTTGCAGATGACATCAAGCTGGGAGGTTGAGTTGATCTGCCTAAGGGTAGGGAGGCCCTTCAGAGGGATCTGGATAAGCTGGATCTCTGGGCTGAGGTTCAACAAGGCTAACTGTCAGGTCCTGCACTTTGGCCACAACAGCCCCATGCAGCATTATAGGCTTGGGGATGAGTGGCTGGATAAGTGTGAAGAAGAGAAGGACCTGGGAGTGTTGGTTGATGCTTGGCTGAACATGAGAGGTGGCCAAGAGGGCCAACAGCATCCTGGCCTGCATTAGAAACAGTGTGGCCAGCAGGAGGAGGGAGATAATCATCCCCCCTCTACTCAGCACTGGTGAGGCCACACATTGAGTACTGTGTTCAGTTTTAGCCCCTCACTATAGGAAGGACATTGATGCCCTGGAGCATGTCCAGAGAAAGGCAATGAAACTGGTGAGGGGTCTGGAGCACAAGTCTTATGAGGAGCAGCTGAGGGAGCTGGGATTGTTTCTCCTGGAGAAGAGAGGCTCAGAGGAGACCTCATTGCACTCTACAACTTCCTGAAGGGAGGTTAAGAGGAGTTTGGCCTCTTCTCCCAGGCAACGAGCAGGACACGGAGAAACGGCTGCAAGTTGTATCAGAAGAGGTTTAGGTTAGACATGAAGAAAAACTTTTTCTTTCAGAGAGTGGTCAGGCACTGGAATGGCCTGTCCAGGGAGGTGGTGGAGTCACCGTCCCTGGCATTGGTTAAGAGGTGTTTGGATGAGGAGCTGCAAGATATGATTTCGTAGCTTGTGGCAGCAATGGTATTGAGAAGACGGTTGGACTAGATGATCTTATAGGTAGTTTCCAACCTTGTGATTCTATGATTCTATGATCTTTCTTCTTTTCTTTCCTTTCTTCATCAACTCATCTATGGGCTCTAATTCATATTTTTTTTTTCCTAGGGTTCAAGGACACCTGCGGAGAAGGACTTGGGAGGCTCTGATGGACAAAAAAGATGAACAGGAACCAGCAGTGTGGTCTTGCAGCTCAGAAGGCCAACAGTACCCTGCACTGCATCAAGAGAGGGACAACCAGCACAGAGAGGGAGGTGATTGTCCCCCTCTACTCTGACCTTGTGAGTCTCTCCATCTGGAGTACTGTGTTCGAGCCTGGGGCCCCCAGTAGAGAATGAGAGCGGAGCTGTTGAAGTGGGTCCAGCAGAGGGCCACAAAGATTATTAAAGGGCTGGAGTCTCTCTCCCACGAACAAAGGTTGAGGGAGTTGAGCTTGTTCAGCTTGGAGAAGAGAAGACTCCAGCAAGACCTCATCATACTCTCCCAGTACTTACTTACAAGCACTAGGGAGGCTGACTTTCTATATTCTGGTGATCATAAGACAAGGAATGGCTTTAAATTAAAACAGGGGAGATTTAAGTTGGATATCAGGAAGATTTATTCTTCTCAGAGGGTGGTAAGGTGCTGGAACAGGTTGCCCAGAGAAGTTATGGATGGATCTTTGGAGGTGATAAAGGGCCAGGTTGGATTGGATCCTGGGCAACTTGATCTAGTGGATGGCAACTCTGCCCGTGGCAGGGAGGTTGGATATAGATGATCTTTAAGGTCCCCTCCAACTTAAACCATTCTATGACAGAAACTGATAGAAATCCAGCCCTGATCACTAGAGAGCACATTTTTTGCTCACCACCATAATCACAAGCTCCAAAAGTTTCTTAAACCATATGATTTTATTCCTTAAAGATAAAATAGGTTGGTTTCCAAATTTTTCCCCCTACGTTTCTGAAACAAGTGCTAAATTAAAAAAAAAAATAAAAAATACACAAAACCTTAAGTCATTTTGAAAACAAAGCAACATGTTGATGTAAAAGACTTAGACTATATTGTCTCCTTTTCTTTCGTTTAGCAAAACACAACAGTATTTTTCAACTTAGATGACAAAGAGGTTTTTAACTTTTGCATACCAAGCTGCCACAAAAGAAATATCTGACCACTAGATGGCCTGAAGACAAATATTTTTGCAGGTTCTGCAACTACCACTAGATGGTAGCTACACATCACTAGTAGATGTCAATCATCAGGCAGGAACATTAAAAAAAGAACAAAAAATATGCATTTGATTATGCTTCATTGAATAAAATGAAGTAACAACAGCTAATTTCTGTTTTACGCTTAAAATTAAAGGAACCATCTCCCAAGATCTTCATACAAGCGCTGTATGTAGCAGTCACAGAAAGAATCTGAGTGAGCTCATCAAGAACAAGTTGTTCTTTCTGTGATCCTCTCACTGTAACACAGTTCCTGATACTGTTTTCCTGCATTTTAACTACATGAGGAAACTTATTTCAGGTTCTCACTGATCTGCCACCTCTGCTTACAGGATTTAAACATAACCCATGTAGGAAAAAAAAAAAACCAAAAATAGAGCTGTTCTGGAAATTTTAACACCTGTACCCCTGAGTTTACGGTGGAACATCAATAACCAAAAATCATAAAACCATGGCATGTCATACATCAAATTTATGGTCCTTAAAAGAAGAGGAATACATCCCACACACTGTTTGAGATCTATTCCCTCTGAGTTATTTAGTTCCTTTTTCATCTAATTCTTCAATTCCCCACTCCCCCCCCAAAAAACCCACACTGAAAATGAGATCTATGTATTCAGTGAGTTGTTAACTCCTCATATAATGAACATAAATACCAAATAAACTACGTAAATTCTCATAAGTAAATACCACATATAATAGTCAAAATTATTTGCTTCTAGTGCAGCTTCTGCACAGCGTGATTTTAACTACCACACTCCTAGGTGCAAACTAATGTGCTTTCACTAAAGATATAATAGACTTAAAACATTTTGGAGCCATCAATTCATCCACTTGACTTCCAATCACAGTGCTAATGAAGGCCTGAATCAGGACTTGAAAGCAAGAGCAAGTTCATACAATACACAGAACCTAAACAGGTTAAATACAAATGGTTACAGAACACAGGGCAGGTGAAGAAAGGGAAAAAGAAATTGAAGATATCCCTTCACCCCTCAAAATTGGACCCTTTCTATGGTCCAATTACAGAAACCGATTAGGATACAAAAGTCACTTTGTCACCAAACAAATATCTGTATATTTGCTATGTGAGATAGACCAATTATTCTCCTTCGAAGACACAATCCCCACGCTGTGCATTATATATGAGCACGAACAAATTTTGAAGTTCTATAACCTGCATCTCCAGTCGTGAAATAGGTAACTAAGATAGACATAAAAGGGACATGAACTAAAATGAAATTTAGGTTGAAAGGTATGAAGAGGATTTTAATGAATGATCAGCTTTCATCCTGATGACTGCTAGGAAGAATGGCTGCATCCCCCGCCCCAAACTTTTACACAGGTTGCCAAAAACTCATTCATTTCAGAATGGGGAAATAGCCTTAAAATTAGAAATAATCATGTAATTAGTGAAACTGAAGCAACCAACTTTCTTCTGCAATTAACTTCCAGTGGCTAAATCTAAATTTACTCAACACAGTAGGTAAAGTACAAGGCAAAGAATGCACAGCATACAGAGACAGTGCCTGAATAACTGGTCAAGTAGTGCTGGCTGTAACCAGAGACTGTCTGAAAACTCTACATATTTATGCACTAGCAGGTAGTTCAATCTGAAGTTAAGCATAGCTGCAATTGTTCCAAGAGGCCACACGCAGCTACTTAATTCACTCTACTAATACAGGCAACTTTTATACAGCACACTCTTTCTCAAATTTCTTCTACCTTAAAGTTGGTTGCCAGGTCTCTGTGATTCAGCCTTTAGAGCTGGTTGTCCAACTGGAAGACGACAGAACTACCCAACTTATAGTAAAACAGTACAGTCTTTATGTACCTCAGAACAGTGATTATTTTTGTCCCCTAATATGCAAAAGGTGTCACAGGAAAAAAAGTGAAACACTGGCTACATCTAAAACAGGATGTACTTATATCTGCATACAGGTAAAAAAAAATAAATACAGTACATTAACGCAGTTTTATCACAGTTACTTTTTATATTCCATAGAAATAAGGTACGATTAAGAGATACCTCTATAGGTCTGGGATACAAGATAACTTACTGAAAAATGCCAACATGAAGATGCCATCATTGCCCACTCTAAGCTGATCTGCATCACTGAAATCATCCCGTGGTGGATACTCTTCTTCCTGGATTTACAGGTTAGTGATAATTTAGTGAAAAGTTTATTTTAGAATAACTAACTGTAGGATTACAGTATTAATCATGTTTCTAAATCTAGAAAAGAACTGACATTTCTGTAACATGTCCACATCAAGGAACTTGAAAGAAAAATATTTGTAAACAAGGCTTATGTTACTTATGTTGACAGAGCACGGATTTAACTGAACAGTTTCTGTAGAAGATATTGTCTATACATCTTAACTACAAATTGTTTCCAGTAACTACTTTGACAATCTAAACCAATAAAAATCCTCTCTTATTATATTTATTTTAATAGGCAGCCAAGTTGTTACTAATATTTTTTTTCCAAAAGTTTGTGTGTTTTATTTTTTTCTCTAACAGAATAATCTTTGAATGCTTTGAGTTAAAGAAAAAGGATTTAGAATAAGGTTAGACTCTTAAAAATGCTGATGCAAAAGCACAGCACTAATCCATTTATAGATTATCCTACAAACATGTAGAGACACTAGAGGGCGTGAGCACATTAAAATTGTTTAAACATCTGAACTCAGAAAATACCTAAGTTAAACTGAAGTAAATGGATGACAGTCAAAACAGTGCAGAAATTTATCTGGTCATGTCAAAATACTAAATCTTAACACACTGAAAGTATAGGCCTGTACTGTTTCTCAATATCTTCAACAGCACTTGGAAGATCTAATTCATGTACAGCTGTGTGGGCTAGGAAACCTAAGTTTCCATTGCAACAGATTTTTAAAGAGTCTAATGAAAACTGTAGAAAACAGCTAAACATTATGTCAAATGAACAACAGCAAAACAAAGCAGAGTAATAAGTTAAATAACGGCTGTCAGTAACAGTAGCAATGCAGTCTGGGCAGAAACATGAGTAACCTCTATTTACTTTTCCTCCACTTTTTCAACAACTGGTCATAATGACTTAGAATTGAAGTAAGAAATATCATATTAAAAATAATGAAAAATAAATTGAGCTTAAAATGAGATTTAGCTGTTCTACCCAGAGGAAACAATTACTAATGAAATAATGTACTTCTTGTGATTATGATTTTAACATACTATCCCACTCACTGTATCAGTGGTTACTTTGCATGTATCTCTATACATACATCTATTCATAAGTAAAAGATAATTAAAAATCACAATGATCTGTCATGCAATTGTCATATACACTTTTGTGAACAGTGCAAAAAAATCTACCACAGTGTAGTGATTCCAGTTAAGTTTGCTAGAACAAATTGTACCAACTCCAGACAGCCACTATTAACCTTTATTAACATGGTCATGAAGTTCCAGTTGCTATCTTCCATTTCAGTTCATTTATCAGGTCTTTGTATCTCAAAAAAATATTAACACACTATTGTTCGTAAGGACAATTGCAATTAAATCACAGAGTTGAACAGCAACCTTATGAGAGTATAACTCAGCTCCAGGTAATTTCAAATGTCTGTAAGTGGTCACCTTATGCAGCTATGAAAGCATTAGTTTATTTAGCATGACTGCTGCAGCTGCAAGACTGACGGGAAAGAAAGGGAAAGACTGAAAACACATTAAACAAAAGGTTACATTTGAAATGCTTATATTTAAAATACATATGCCTCAGAAGCTTTTTTCCAAGTTTTAGCAACAAAAGCTTTTGATTTTAATTTCCTAAGGTCTGTAAAACCCCATTTTTTCCCCTTAAGTTGTTTGCTAGCTGCTCCATCTCACACTGGCTTTTACAAATCCGTTCACCAACTCAGTCTTACCCTTCGTGAAATGATCTTGCTTAGTTACAGTAAAAAGTTTAACATATTCATCTATACACACATTACTAAGGCTTGTATATGGAAGAAACATGCATCAGTATATGGTCTAGGGACATGAAAACAGGCACTTGCACTAACTATGAGCAACTTATTCATCGTACTCCATGCCAATATGGAATCACAGTGGGCTATGTTCTATTTACTGTCTTCAAGAACCAGCCTTTTAAAGTGATCAGAATCTTCAATGAAATAGTGTTCTACCTTTAAACCATATTCAGCACATATCTATTCACATAGTACTTGGTTTTATCACTGGTCCCAGAGACTGAATACATTAACTGTCCTATGCTCAAGCCTCACAAATATAGGCTGCCCTTCATAAACCAGTGTTCTCATTATACTTAGTGTCAAAACTATCACTTTCTTCAGAGTACAATTGCTTGCCACCTGTTTGGTTCCAATTTTTGGAAATGAAAAGGGACAACCCAAAATGACTGTCCTCTCAAGTGATGATTAGAAACTCAATAGTTTCATAATAATACTTCTATTAGATACTGATATTTTACTCGATAAGAATAACGTTATGCTTATGTTTATATTCTTAATGTGAATGTCACTGATATCCTAGTGCTATATATATATGTACACACACACACACATAAATATGCACACAAATTGCTAAAAAAAAAAAAAAAAAATCCTTTCTTCAATATCTTTCATTGATTTTTGACAAAATAGTTCTATTAACGATCATGGATAAATTCATTTTGATTGCTGGACATGCTGAAATTTGTATAAACAGAAAATTTAATATTCCTGTGGCAAGGAAAATGGTTAAACAGCAAAATATATTATCAAGATTAATGATATATCACACAGAGGAATTTCTATAAGCTAAATCTATAAGCTGAAGAACATCAAAAGGTACACAGCATCTAATTAAGTCAAATCTATTTGCTCCTCCGGAACCACAGTGCTCTCTGTAGCTATTTATGGAAGAGAAGGCTGCTTGTTTGTTTACACCAACCCCCAACGACTTTGTAACATCTTTTTAACTGAAACCTGGCATGGCATACAGTGAGACAGCCATCTTGAATCAAGGAAGGAATTGGAGTTTTCAGGAACCTGCTGGATAACTGAACTGATAAAAAACTGTTCCCAATGCAGAAGGCTTACAGAGAAAAACTAAGAAGAAAAAATGATTAAATAACTTGGAAAAACACATAAATTGTATTTTCAGCATACAAAACAAAAAGGAAAACTTAATGACGAGAGGGGAAAAAAGGGCATGATGAAACCCAGGAGCATTTGTATGCCGGTAGGTAAATTCACAAGTAGAGTCTAAACTAGAGAGAACTAATACCATACCTCGGGACGACTGTGGAATATTTCATCAAACAGACTCCTAGACTCCCTAAACTGGGCGTGCTAAGCATGTAAAAACAGAAAAACATAAGACAAACGCAACTAAAGAGCATGAAATAAAAGCAATGCATTGCAACATACAAGTCATTTACCTGTGAGCAGTATGTTTGCATGTTTAAACTAACCTTTGAAAACTGACATCGAGAATAAAAAAAGGCAAACATGAAAAGTCAGTTTATATATATATATAATTACTGCTATCACAAGTGATGACAAAGGATTCCTACAATTTCTTTGATATGTTGAGCACATAACTAGGAGCATATGAAAGAAATGAATGTTTACACAATCTATTCCCCCCCATAACATCCCTATCTCATTCAGGAAAAAAGTATGAAATCTAGTTCATTAAACATTTTTTTATGCAGTTTTCCTCTCTTCTGGAAAATTAATAGGCTTGTAGCCTTCTTTGCTGTACATTTTAGAGTATATCATGAAGGGATTATCAGCTTCATGTATTGCTCAAGGTAACATAAGCTCATCTAACATTTTGAACTGTTTGTGTTATTGCGAAGCTGCAAAATATCCTCATTCAACAAGCAAGAAGTTACAAGCACAGCTCTTAGCACAGTTCACTATCTTAAGAGCACTGATTCCATAAACCTGAAAATTAGAAATCGAAAAGCAATATTTTTTGTGCATGTTTTTCAAAGCATGTAATAAGTAACTTAAACATTGCATGCAGATGCCACTGACTGTAATCTCAAAGTAAAAGCAATAACTAATTACAGACCACTAGTGCAAAGTTCAATTGACTTAATTGTTCTTCTGCAAGCACTCAGAGCTCAGAATCAATATATTTAATATCTTTCCCCTTAGGATGGCAAATCATCACCCTAACCATTATGTGACATTTTCCATAGCCTTAATATTGTTTCATTAATATAGCTTCTGCGTGCACTTAAAGGAAAATAAGGAAAAGAAGCGAAATGATCAGAAACCACCATCAAACTTGAGAACCTTAGCAGTCAGCAGGACTTAACACTTTTAGGTAAACTGAGAAAGTTTCTGATATTAACAGTACTGACTTAATCTACAAATCATTTAGCAAGTTTCTGCTTTTGGGGAATGATGGTATGTTCCTACTGATTTTTCCTGAGTAGGTGAAATTTTTATGAATTTCATTAAGCATCAGCACTTATTTCCCAAGTTCTTCTGTGTGCTTTGGAAAACAACATATACTGTCAGATTTTATGCAAAAGTTCATTTATTAATTCATCACCACATCTTACAATCCTATCTCTGAAATCTAGATTCCTGCCCCTTGCCTCCATTTTACCTGTTTTCCTGTCTTGACAATTTGTTCCTGACTGTTCGACTAAGTTTTACTAATGCATTTGATTTTTTACTATTCGCACATTGCATAATTTCCAAATAGAGTTATTTCCCTTCCTCAGCTCCAAGTGTCTGCTCACAAAGCAACACAAACCTCCTAACCTCAGTTTATTCTGTTCCTTCTCACTTCTCCTTAAGCCCACTCTGTACTTTTTACACATTTGGACTTACATTCAACCTTGTTTTTTCTCATTTCAACTCAGACTCATCCTCTCTCATCCTGCCGGTGTTCATTTTGTTAGCAAAGCCAGATCTAGACTTCTCTTCCCACAACATGTAAGCTTCAGAGTCTCAAGATCTTTGTCCTGCTTTGTTCTACCTACTGCTGACATCCTTGTGATTGAGTCAAATTGCTTTTCTCTTCCCTACTGATCAAAGGCCAAGAATAATAAAACTATCCATGGCACTCCAGAAACTCACAGTTTCAGTACTGAAAGTATTTAAGGGCAGTTGCATGACCTATCTTTTTTTGTTTGATAATCCTGTTCTGATACAGGACATCTGCAAACATTCTCTGGAGACAACACATCTGCAGCCCCATTTCCTTCAGAGCAATCTGAACTTGTTCATGGGAGACTCTCTCCACAAATTTAGTAGTTCTAAAGCTCTATATATCAAGTGTGGAAACTCATTTTTCAGTAACTTATGTTGGCCAAAGCTGTCAGATTTTCTGAGGCAGGGTAAAAGATGTTTCCAACAGAAAAAAAAAGATCTAAATATGTGACAATTAGAGCACTTCAAAATAAAAGGCTTAAAAACACAAGAAGAAAACCAGTTTTACTTAGATCCATTCTTAAGTAGGCTATACCTCAGCTTCAGGCTTCCCTCCCACCCTCATTTAAATCCAGGTCAGAGACAATTGCATCTATGTCTAAAGCTTCCGCTTCATATGGTCCCAGATATGCAAAGTTAGAAGCAAAAAGAGTATTGCAAGAGTTGCACATGCCCCATCAGAAGTATTGTAAGACTGGTAACAGTACCCATAAAATTAATGTTTCAGTTGCTAACATCTCAAATAAATTTGAAGTTCACTGACTGAAATCAAGGGCTACATTCAGACCAAAGCTTCAGCCTTACTTCTACTTAAGTTGCAAGCACTAACAGACTAGATATAATCCATGCTTCTGTTAAAAGGTTACAAAATCATTGCCTCCTAGCAGGAGATTGGCAAGAAACCATGCGAATATTTTGCATTCACAGCTACATTTAGTAAAACAGACTTGTGTAACACCTCCAATGGTGATGTCACATAGACCTATTTTAACTATAGCTGCGTCTACCTCTAATTGCTGTGCACTGTGATTACTGCATGGCAATCAAGGAAGAAACCAATTCCAGCTGCACAAGCTGAAGTATTCCATTCAAAAACATGCTGCACTTGACATGTACAACCCAGTTAGGAAGATTTTAAATGCATCTCAAACTCAATCACCTTAAACTCAAGGTGTAGATCTATAGAGAAAGCTCTGAAAGCCCAATTTAATTATGGCATATTACAATCAATCCTACCAAAAAAAAAATAAATAAATAAAAAGCAGAATTTCAAAGAAAAAAAATAATGTCATTGACTGTTTATAAAACTAACTTAATAATTGGAAATGTGAATTGTGAGGGATTTTGTTTGTTTTTCAGTTTTTTTGTTTGTTTTGCTTCTGCTTTTATTTTGAAGACTGCATTCATTATGACATTAATTCTTACAAAACTCTATGTACTGAAAGCATACCTATTAATTTACAGTTTACCATACTTGTAATATGTGACTTTTTTCTTTAAGTACTTGGAACATTTCTTCCAACTTGTCATGGCCTTCCAGTATTTAAGTTCTTCAAGAAACAAATAGCAAGGACTTATCTTTTACAAAGATCTACTGTTTGGTGTTTCAGCTCTTCCAGACAGTGAGAATTTCATTCTTTTCCGAAGTTCTGCTTACTTTACTAATTTTTTTTTTTTAAGCATATGAAACACTCAATATCAGCACTAGTTCTAGAAATTGACATTATCAGTGGATATTTAATTAAAATATGACAAGATACTGAATAAACTATCAAAACAGGGCAATGGATGGTTTTTCAGAAATATTTAACCACCTACTAAGCCTCAAGAGTGCAAACACTGTACAACTTCTCTAGTAGTAACTTACACTACCTATAAAAAAATGAATGTATAAAAAATTAAAATCACCTGCCCATCATTATTTTTAGTGAGTAGGCCATGAGATGGTCCTTATTATTATAAATCATTAGATTAGTTTTACAAGTTCTATAAAGTTGAAACAAAGAACTGCTTTACTTACACGTTGGGTAACTTCTGCTGCAGCAGCTGCCATTGCTGCAGCTTTGGCCTTCTCTGCTTCATCGTAAGTAGGAAGAGAGGTAGCTACACTGTATGGAGGTGGTACAGGATAAAATTCATTGTGTGTTTCTGTTCAAAATAAAGAGGTCATTATGCATTTTTAAACTAGAAAGATATAAAAAAAAATAAGATTTAAGAGCACAAACTACTGAACTTTAAAGTGCATTCTTTCAAGAGGCTGAAATTCAAATTTGTAGCTCAATTTCTTAGAATTTTTGAGAAAAAAAATGTATTTTTATAGAATTAAAGTGAACAAGTTAATGGTTATTTTAATTGCTTTTTAATCTTGATGCAACAAGGATCAAACAAGTTAGAAAAAGAATTCATGAGCCTAGTTATATGTTCAGGTATTCCAATCAAGTCATTTTATCATACAAGAGACATGCGAAGAAATATACTAAAAAAAATTGTTTAATCAACATGAAAGACCTAGGTCAGAGTAATTCTGAAACATTTACTTGGTGAATGTGAAATGCAAATTTAGGCAACTATGCTTAAACAAGGACTTTGATGTTGTCTGCTGTTAAGCCTCCTATACCCTAAAGGAAAGTCACAACCTCATCAGAAATGGAGTAGTGAATAAAAAGCTCTACATTTTTCATTCTAATTTTTTTCAAGAGCATTTAAAGCAAAACCCATCTTTTCACGGCAGTATTTTCCACCACACATGGCACATCCTTTGGCTTTCAGGGAAGGGTGGAGGTGGCAGTTAAAAGAGTAATAAAAATTGCTAATGAGGTCTCATAATGAGCAGTGAAGTACATAGATTAAATGTAGAACTGAACTACACACAGACTTAAATAAAAGCTAACCATTACACTAATTAATGAACAACCCTTTAGTCAAGTAATTTGGAACAATCAGCATAATTTAGAAGCATGCTTCTTCTGAACAAATTTAACAAAGGGCTGTGCATGAAAGCCTCACTTCTTGCTGCAATTGCGTGCGCAGAAAAAATACTGCAGCACGTACCAGGTTGATCAAGTGCTGATTCATACACACGCCTCTCTGACAAGCTGTTGTATGTAAGAAAAATACCTGAGGTTGCAGCTGCTTCTACGCCTATGCTACAGTAAGGTGGTGGGGAGGTATCTGCTTCAGATAAGGCTGCTGTCTGAGGAGTCTGTGTCGTCTCTGTAGAAGTAGAAGGCTGCTCAGCCACTGAAGATTCAGGAGGGTCATCCTCATTGTGAAGCTTAAAAGAAAAACACACAAGAGTCATGGAGATAATTGCCTGATAACTTTGAACTTGCAGACCTATCATCAAGAAAGAAAAACACTCTTCAACAAAGCCAAAAATTATTTACAAACGCAGCCTGCGATCACTAAGGAACCCAGTGAAATACTTCTTAAGCAAACAGTCAAAAGCAGCCTTAAATGACTCTTTATTTTCCCTTCTTCCAGAAACGGGTAACTTCTGCTCAATGTGATGTTCACATAATTTTAGAAAATTGCATTTTTAATGTTATCTCTATAGGAAAGTGAATGCTTAAAATATTAGGAAGATAGAAAGTAGTTTAAAGTTTATTTTTTCTTACATTTGTTCGTAAGAATATTTTACTCCATTTTAAAATACAAAAAGTGAGCAACGCTATTTTTTGATTGCTTCTCCATTGCTACAGTAAAAATAACACTACTTGCATAAGTGTGACCTTTCTGTTCTTGTATTTCATCAAATAACTTCATCCAAATTCTAAAACATTCCGCATTTTCTACACTCTGGAAAGAATCCTTCTCCTATAGAACTTTAACTTGCTTGGACTTTTGCTTCTTTAAATATAGCTAAAAAAGGATCTATACAGTTAAGCTTATGGCGAAATGAGAATTCGAATAAGCAAGAACAGTAATTAAAACCATCAAATTCAGATCCATCAACTTACAGATATTTTCTTTAAGACAGAATGTCTGATTTTTAGCTAAATTTATACCATTTAGAATATTATGAGTAGTACACACTTGGAACAAAATAAGTATTAGTATATACTAGTGTTCATGCTAGCATGAACACCACAATGCCTAGAGAACTACTACTGAAGCACCCATATTTAAAACTCAAGTCAGATGAACACACTGAAGAGATCTAAGACTGAAGAGGTTCTGTTTTCAGGAACTAAAAAACATCTTACAGAATATAGTTGTCCTAGCAAAAATAATAATAATAATTATTATTAAGAGTATGGGTCATTTTTCCATTAAATAAAGTGCAATCAAATTATTGGAAAAGATTACTTTCAGAAGAGCGCTCAAAAAGCTTTGCTAAGTAGTGCCACACTCTTACCAATAATTTCTTTATATCAACAGTTCATCAAAGTTCTGGAGGTTATAAATTCTGTGCTATTCTTTCTAGACTAGTGATAACAGAAATTAGAAGCAAATACGACATTCTACAAAAGGCACGTAAATTAAAAAGATAGTTCAAAGGAAATAAAAAAATACTTCAGAAGAATTTAATGAAGTAGTTTCTTGCAATTTTCATTTGACTTCTGCTACAAATACTCTCTCCAAACGTGTCAAAAGTCAAAAGGGATAGTTATTTGTTATAGCCTTCTTCCATGAACTCCCTCAAAAACTGTACTCTGAGAATAACAACTTAAATAGGAAAGGCTTTACCTAGACATGAAGTACAAGCTTAAGCTATGCAAGCATAAGCAAGCTTATGTAAGTATCCACATACATCAGCATATGCATAAGTACATACACACATACGCACACTATTCACAAGCACAGACTAATAAAGAAAGGTCACTTTCAAAAGAACTGATAGAGGTTATTGCACGTTTTTGGGTACTGAGCAATTAGGTCATTTAACATCTAATCAGCGATCCAGAAAAAGCAGTAAACTGAGAAATATGCAAAGCTATTCATAGTAGTTAAGGTCAGAGAAAAGAAAACCGTTTCAAAATAACCTAATATATTTAGGGATACAGAAAGCACGTGAGAAGACAAAACACTTGATTCTAAAAAAGATAAAACAGGTCAGGAAAAAAATAGAAATAGAAACATGGTTCTGAATTAAGTACAATCATTCACAAGAAAAATCCAGTGCTGAAACAGATACAGCCAACAAAATCACTTTAAAATAAAGTTGTAATTAAATTAGTAATGAGACAAAGAAAATTACTACCCTTTTGTGTTAACACCTGGTACATGAAATATCAAAAGGTATTTGGGATACGTGTTACTGGTGTACAGACAAGCAAGCAAAAAAAAAAAAAAAAAGGGCAAGCAAAAAAACCTGGGTAATAGGCTTCTGATGGTTATGTTCATTCCTCCTCTCCTCTCGCCCTCCATTTCAGTAAGTGTTCTGGTATTTTATTTCCCTCCCCGTCAATGCACAGCTTGCCCTCTGACCATACTACAGATGCACAAAGATCCACAACACCCACTGGGCAAGGAGCACAGCACTGCTCAGTACTCATTTTGCCTTCACCAGGAAAAAACTAATTTTATCTCTTCCGCCTTATTTCTTGGAAGCTACTTTTTTCCAAATTTGAGATTCAGAAGCACTTACAAATGACAGAGGCAACATTATAGTGGGAGAATATGCAACTAATATTTCTTTCCTTCATAGACAGCATTAACAATGCATTCTGTTGCAACAGAAAGATTAACTAATAAGCAGAGGAACTCCATACTAAAGGCTCTATTCAAAAGAGTCCTGTTATGACCTGTAGTGCACAGAAAGGGCATAGTTCTGGTCTTTATTTTGTATGACTCATAAACAGGGACTAAACATTTCAATTTATCCTGTAATCTACTCTACAGATCTGTCAGACATTCTGTAGTGGATCAAGTTCGTTGTAATGCAACAACTGTATGCCATAGACAGAATATATTTTTAAGTAAGATTCCTATAATACCTATAATGTACTGTTGAAATTAAATACATATTACAGATCATTTTACAAAATGGGAAACGGTATCTTTTAAAAGATGTATAAAATCTATTAGTAAAGTCTGCCATTGGTATTTTAAGCTAGCTAGAGTAAACATGCTCTACTTGAATTCACTTCATCAGAAAACATAACTCTAATGGTGTCAGTGTTTTGTACAGGGCATTAGCTGTTGTTATATTATACTTCAGTGCTTTTTTAAAAAAATCTGAAACATCATTCTGTCAGCAAAAGAACAACATAAGCAGAGAGGAAGGCTGTCTTCTCAGGCATCGTTTGGTGGGATTTTTATTTTTATTTTTTTTTAAAGGCTTATGGATAGAAGCACACGTCAATTCCCTCAGTAAAGGGCTCTTAACCAAACACCATCTTCTGGCTCATAATCTCTTCAAAGTGTCAGTGGATTTCAGGTATTGCAGGTAGCTGATTACTTCAGAAACAACTACACAAGAAAAAAAGAAAAGAGGATTTAAGGAAAGGAAGAGAAGGAGTACTTGCTTAAAGAAGTGATTTATGATGAGAATGAAATGCTAAAATGAAGATATCCATATTTCCCACAATATTTAGATACAGAACCTCTGGTAGTCTCCAGACATTTTGAGCTGCTGTCATCAGAAGAGCCATTGCTTTTGTATCTAGCACTGAATTTTAACTGTGCTAAGATAAATACAGCTTGAAAAACGCATGCATTATGACTCCTCAGCCTTCAGTGTGCTGCAGTTCAAGGGCTGTGAAAGCAGGGGTTGAAACACTTTGCATATAGATTTAATTTCTCTTAAGCTATAAAATATTCCTTTTTAATCGTAAAGCTCATGTTGTCAGCCAGATACAATGTGTACAAACTAAGATGTAAAGCACCTGCATCACGGCAAAAGCAGCTATAATGCTTACAACTCCACAATTTTTTTTTAGCAGATGAGCTGCAACTTCTCCGTACTCTTAATTAAAATAGCAGGAAAAGTAATCTTACTACTGGAAAAGTTTCCAGGTCTCTCTCTCTTTTTTTTTTTTTTTTTTTTTTTTTTTAAACTTGTAATGCTAAATGCTGAAAAGGTACATAGCTTAAGTAATACCTCAAACAGACATTTTCTGTTCCCTTCTGAATATATTTTAGCTTGGTTTCTATGGAAATGAAACCTATGCGGCATGTTAGGCCCCTTCTTCCCCTGCCTCCAGAAATAACTTCTAAATTTACCAGCCAGCATAAGCCAAAATTAAACAAGAAGGGAGAGGCTCAAGGAAAGTTGGGTTCCTACAGATTTCAAGTGAACTGGTGACACGCTAGAGGAGGATCAGCGCCCCGTGAGCGAGGCAGGTAAAAGTATTGATACTGTGTTCTCACAAGTGCCTACCCTGTTGGCATAAGCAGAACTTCTGGCCTACCCAGAGCAGGTTCTGCTTTTTGTTTTTGTTTGTCTTCCTCTGGAGTATAATAAGAAGAGAAAAGCTGAAGTTACTGCCTTGAGGAGAGAGCAGGAAACAGCACTTGATTCACCACTAATAAAAGCTAGGTTCTGCTCTTGGGATGACTAGCGTTTATCATTCTAGCTGTAAATACTTACAATTCTTAAGCCCCTTCTCGTAAATTTTATGTTGGAGTATTCTATAAGGAGCCATCAAACAAGCCTGTTTTTTCTGTTTTCTTTTATACCTTTATTGGTATGGTATTGGTAATGCATTGATATGCATTTTAGCAATGCCTGACTTTTAGGTAAGCTTATTGCATAAGTTTTAGGAGTTATTGTTCTGCCTGGGCCATCAGAGATCTTCAACAGCATTCTCACCTGCATGATATTATTACTACATTCTTCAGTAAGCTTGGCTTCCAGTTTGACCTCATGCTGATCAACTCACGAGTTCTTTCCAATGGTGTTCAAACAAATACAAAACATAAAAGCTCCATAACACTAGGTCTTACATCATGCTTCAAATGGATATAAGATCATGTGAGTTCAAATTCTGTATGCTAAGCCAGTCAATTGGTACACTTGCTCTACAAAAAACACTCACAGCAACGGAGGTTCATCGCTTTCCCTGAGCAGAAGTTAACACTTCTACATTTACCATTTCCTAAAGTTTCAGATGGCAAAAGGTCAACCAGAACTATCCACTTACCACAGCTTCTAGTGCTGCAGAGGACTTATCTTAACACTGCCTCCGCAGTGCACGACAACTATTTCAACACTTCTGCATTAGATTCAGGACCTCTTCCATACTGCTACACAAGCATTTGTTCCACAAGAATTTGAACATACTAAATATTAGAGATGGAACCAACAGTAGGTTCAGAATAAAAACTCTG